ACACACATTTCCACATCTGCACTTTAATAAAGCCATCCAACCAAAATAAAACCTCAAAAATAAAGTACATTATACACAAACTGTTGCTTAGCCTTTTTATCTGGTCCCTGCATTGAGCCATGTTTGAAATCAGCAGGGTTTGAGTATTTTATTTATTTCTGTTCCCACCCTGCAGAGATGAACTGTATGCAGGTCAGTGTACTGCAGGTATTTGTCATAGTGACCTCTTTCTCTGTATGCAGAACCACTTTTACGGAAATTGGACCAGACAGACTCTTGAGTTATTTTTCTGGAGAGCCAAGCTCCCGCTGTTTGCTACCTAACATCCACATTATTATTTCACACTGAGCTTGTGCACTTCAACTGAATGCAAGTTGGTATCCGAAGCCATTTAAGGAAAATGGGCTCCCTAACTTTATTTCTGGAACAGTAAACTGTCAATCATACCAGCCAAAGGAAGTGAAAGAACTGCAAAGTAGGTACACTCTGGGATTTCTTTTTTCTCCACCAAAAATGTTTTGGAAATTGCCAATTTTTCTTCTTTCTTAAATGCATCCAACAACATAGAAGTCCAAAAAGGCTACCTCAACATGCAGACAGTTGTTGAGCATTTTGTCCATTTTTTCCTCACTGGGTTTGTTGGCTCCTTTTCCACATTCTGTATGTTTTGGGTACTTCCAGCACACACTTAGCTGCTTCCATCGTTTTGAAAAGATGACGTCCATTGATCACAGTTTGAAAAAGTCAAATTAGTAAAAATGATATGTGAAAGAGAAGAGGGCTCTTACAAAATCCCAAAGAACACTTGAATTTTAATGGAGTGTTATCAAAGTTTTGATAAAGGGAAATATTTTTTTTAATAAAGTACTTAAAAGTACCAGAAACTGCAACTGAAATCAGTTCCAATACAATAGCATTTAGTTTTATTAGACAAGGGAGTCAAATAAGCAATGGGTTCTGGAAATCTCACCTTGGAAGAGCTTGAAAAGAATTATTTGGCAAATGTATGATAAACCCACAGAGATAGCCATGATGGTAAAATCACCAGCATGAAAGCAAACATCAGCACCAACTACTGGGACTGGCCATGCTGTGCCTGTAACCGTGTGGTGTTGTGCTAGCATGACACTTTACCGTAAGTAACATAAAACCTGCAGGTAAACATGCATCGCCTGCAATAATGTGCCCTGCCTCGCTTCTTTTACTGTAGATGAGTCAGTTATTCGAAGAATTAAAACGTGCCTAAAAGTCACACTGGTGTGTGAAATTTGTTCTCTGCATTTGACCCATCCCCTAGGGGAGCGTTGAGCTGAAGACACAGCCGCGCTCGGGAACTATTTGGTGGTTTATTCCTCCAACTGAACCCTTTAATACTGAGTGTCAAGCAGGGAGGAATTGGGTCCCATTTTCAAAGCCTTTGATATGACCCGATTGTCGATTTGAACACACAATCTCCCAGTCTCAGGGCAGACACTTTAACCACTAAATCACTGAGCTGAACTAGTTTGGTGTCATCATAAGAATGAATGTTTCTGATGACTCGTGTGATCAAACCTGACTGGGTTTCTCTCCATTAATGCAGCCAGATTGGTCTCTACTGGGTTTAGAGTCTATATAATGCATCAATATATTTTGACACTTCTCCAGTATGTATGTTTAATGTGTCTTGGCACCAACAAACTACTTGGTATATATGTTGTTGTTGTTGTTGTTGTGTGTGTGTGTGTGTGTGTGTGTGTGTGTGTGTGTGTGTGTGTGTGTGTGTGTGTGTGTGTGTGTGTGTGTGTGTGTGTGTGTGTGTGTGTGTGTGTGTGTGTGTGTGTCTGCTCTGTCTTCTCGATCCCCTGTGAGTCGTGGAGGATGGCTGCTTGTACTGAGCCAGGATCCTCTGGAGGTTTCTTCCTGTTAAAATGGAGTTTTCCTCTCTACTGTCGCTAAATGCTTGCTTAGTATGAGGATTGCTGTAAAGAGACTGACACCAGTCAGTGACGTGATGCAATTGGGCTGCATGGTGGCGCAGTGGTTAGCACGGTTGCCTCGCAGCACGAAGGTTGCAGGTTTGAAACTCGGCTGTGGCCTTTCTGCGTGGAGTTGCGTGTTCTCCCCATGCATGCGTGGGTTTCCTCCGGGTACTCCGGTTTCCCCCACAGATCACAACATGCCCTACAGGTTACAAATTGTAAGTTTCTTTGGATAAAAGTGTCTGCCAAATAAATAAACATAAACATAATTTGCTGGGTTCCTTATATAGGAAACATTTTACCTGTTGGCTTAATGAACTGACCTGTAATGGAATGTTTACTATGTGAAGTGCCTTGAGACGACTCGTCGTGATTTGGCGCTATATAAATAAACTTGAATTGAATCGTATAAAAATTTCAATAAAAACATCTGTTGGTATTTTAGAGCCATTCCTTACTACTGTTTTTATTCAATACACTTCCATTCAGTTTATTAATATAGCGCCAAATCATGATAAGAGTTGTCTCAAGGCACTTCACGCAGTAAACATTCCAATACAGTTCAGTTAATTAAGCCAGTTAGTTAAAAGTTTCCTATTTAAGGAAACCCAGCAGATTGCGTTGAATTTACTGCAATCATACTAAGTAAGCATGTAGTGGCAGTGGAGAGGAAAACTCCCCGTTAACAGGAAGATACCTCCAACAGAACCTGGCTCGGTATAAGCAGCCATCTGCAGCAGTTGATAAGTAAATATTTTTTCATGTTGATCATCACAATAAAACAACATAAATGTCCCTTGCTCGTTCTTCTGGTCATATATCTAATATTATCAATGTACAGTTCTAGAACCTAAATAGCATTGTTGTTGTTTTTCCGATTAAGACATATTTGTCATTTTTTCTGTTGTTATTCATTATTCAGATTCAGATTTCAGATTTATTGGCCAAGTAAAATTACATTTACAAGGAATTTGGCTTCGGTAGATGTTCGCTCTCTAAAAACATGCAACAACCCCAATAAATGAGAATAAAAATACCTAAAAACACATAAGAACATGTACAGTATACCCACACACATGATCATTTACACACACACATATATACATACGCACGCACGCATGCACGCATTACGTCATACTCTGTAGTTAATCCGTTTAAGAAAATGTCAAAAGCTAGCTTCCCATCCCACCTGTGGCTTGTGCTGTTGGCAGACCTTTTTAAGACAGAAGTTTAAACTTGTGCAAGAAGTGTGCAAACTCCAGTCCAGACGTTTCCTCCTTTATATTTAATGTGATTGAAAATTGCAAGTTTTGGTGAAGTGTAGACAAGGCGTTAGCCACAGAACCTATGTATAGGCTCAGGCAGCACGAGGCTTGCACCATCATGCCATTTCTCTGCCTGACTCATCTCCATGGCAGGAAATGAACTTCTGTGTTTCTTCACCAACCGCTGCAGGAGATGGGTTTTCCAAATCCATGTGCCGCTCCTTGCTCTTTTACTAGCCACATTAATTTCATTTAAATAATTTTCTTCAAGAACATCCAGACCTCTTTGTTGGTTTCTTGCCAGAATGAGAGAATTAACAGTGGAGCAGATATTTCCCAGATGTATTTCAGACGTTTGGCTGGTCATAAACTCATATCCTGGTTCATTCGCAACAACAAGCAAATTAGTGAGCACAGCTTGGGTTAAACTGTAATGCTACTCAAATTGCACCATTGATAGTTTTTTTTTTTTGTCTTGATGAATGACACGAGATTTCAGTTGGACTGTCATAGTTTCCTCGTCTGGTGACTGAAAAAAGGCCTTCAGTGCCCAAGACAATCCAAAAATTGGTCATTAAAAACAAAAGCTGAAAGATAGAGAAGCATTGACCTAAACAGACAGTGAAGGTTTGACCAAGTCTTCATCAGTATGTGACCAGCCTGTTAAATCGGACTAGTTTTCATGCCTGCCCTCTTTCTCTCCTCAAACCTGAAATGACCTTCCCACTCCTGCTAGAGCAGCCGCTCTCCTCTGAGCGTTGGAGGTTGAAAACTAATCTGTTCTTGTGTCCCCGACTTGTTCCTCTTCAATCATCCCCTCCCCCGTCAAGTTCCATCCTCCTCTCAACCATCCTGGAGCAAAAATAAAACCACAAGCAAAGGTAGAAATGTGGAACTGTTCTATAAAGTTTTCACAAAGTAAACTTTGGTTTGGAAAAAAAGTTTGAGGATTTTCAAGTTGAACCAAGCTGATGGATAGAAGTTGGACCAATAAGTCACGTTTTTTCTTCCGTTTTGTCAAAGAGCAAGTCACCCCAAATCAACTTTTTATGCTGATAAACTATATAAATGAGTGTCTAATCATGCTGTAGACACATGCCGTCAATAGTTTGGCACTTTAGTTCATCTTAGTTAAAATAAAAAATTTCGGAAGACTTCCGGTTTCATGTAGAGGGAGGACGCATGGGCGAAGGCTCCCGGTTCACATCTTAAATTGATCTTTTCAGAACGAACTTCTTGCGCACACTGCGACACAACTGGCTGTGTAAGTCAATTTTACTAACTTTGAAAATATTGAGCATGTCTAAGCAAGTGAAACAAACTCCGGCTACATGTGCTGCAAACAAGCTAGCATCCTTTGCAGCTAACAATGCGCCGAATTCAGCTGACGGCCCTCCAGGACCTGAGAAAACATTGTCTGAAGCAATGAATGTTGAGCCCAATGCAGCTATGAGCATATTTGGTGCCATTGACAGAGGACATCGAACATTAAGGAAGAGTTATAAAAACATAATTGCTTTCGCTACGGTGCTAGCGCGCAGAAGGATTTTATTGAATTGGAAGTCAAAAAGGCCACCCAAAGTCGCTTTATGGTTTAGTGACCTGACACAATTTATACAGTTGGAAAAGATAAAGTATGCTCTCAGGGGGTCCAATGAGAGATTCTTCGCTGTTTGGGGTACATTACTAAAACATCTAGAGAAAATTAGAACCATACCCGTCTGAGAGCCGTCCAGCGGCTGCCGCATATCCTGTCTGTGATTGTGATTAATTTTGTGTAAATCGTTTCTCTTTAAAGAGCGGGTCAATTGAGCCTCGGAGTCCTTCTCCACCCACGTATCAATTTTAAAAAATGCAACATTAGTAGGCGTTGCCTGGAGGACCGAGAGGGCGGAGCCGCGGCAGTGACGAAGACGATGGCTAACTAGATGAAGCTAGCTCCCTTCACTCTGAGCAGTTGATAGAAGTGGAGGACGTTTCTCCCCCTCCTTACACAGACACTCGAGAAGAAAGGGACCAAGTCTATTTGGAGGAGACAAGCGGACCTGAGTCTTATTGTTTTGAGCTTGTGAGTTGCCTGAAACTCCCAGAACCGACCCAACAGAATCACCTCTGAAAGGTAAGTAGCCGTTAGCCATAGCATTGGATTAGCTGCAGGGTTTGTCTCCACGGCCCTAAAAAGCTAGTATTCAGCATGTTTTAGAGGTTTATCTGCTTCAGCACACCTGGTTTTAATCAGCAACAAATAGCTGAGCTGCTTAACAGCTAATCTAACCTGTTAAAGCAGGAAAATCCACTGAAACATGCTGGATAGCAGCTCTCCGGTAGCCCTGGGCTCAAGTTACAGTCTGCTGCATATAAAGTTATGAAAATACCCCATGAGAAAATCATTCTGTAATGTGTTCAGCCCACTAAAACTGCCCTGATTTCTTTATTTATTTACTAATAACAGCTGCTCTCTCGGTTCTAGGTCCTCTGGTGTCTGCAGCTGGTCTCTGCTGGTGTCCTCAGGATCAGGAGCTTCCAGAAGAATGTGCCTTTCAATGACTCTTTCCCCCTTATTTGTTATATTAATTAAATAAATCTCAATATATATATTTCCTGTTTTTGTTCATGTCCATAAATACTTAAACATGCTTGAAATTAGAACGAGCTTTTAACAGTGAGGTGCTAGTTTAATTAATCACAATAGAGCTAGTTAAACATGCAACAAAAATGTGATATTCAATGTAATTTATAAATATCCATTAAAATATCAAAACTGGAATCTAAATGAGATATTTGGCAGCACAAAACACTTGTCAAACACAATATTTATTATAATAATTGTAGGCAGACAGTAGACAGAGCTGATGGAGGTTCTCAGTCATCGAAGGATGGCTGAAGGCTTTCCAGGAACAGGAGATGTGGTGTTGTCTCTTCTCTCTCTATTCTGCCAGATGATCTGATAGGTTACAGGTGTGTGAGGACATCCTCATGCTGTCATAACCAGATGACAGGGGTTATCAGGTGATCAGCCAGGCTAATGAGATGCAGAAAGAAAACAAATTCAGGACAGTGTACAATATGTGGTGTTGCTCACCTTATGTGCTCTTATAGAATATTAATGTGTGCATGCCTCATGGTGTAGAGTCCATATTTTGCTGAGTGTCCTGCAATAATGCAGGTTATTAGTTAATTTACTTTTGATAGCAAAAACAAAATATTTAATGTAAAAGTTATTTTCCAGGAGAATCAGCTCACACGTCACCACCAAGTGTCACAGGGGCAGAATCAGTAGCCTCCGTCATGATGTAATCACATACTTATTTAATTGTTAATATCTTAAAAATTCTGAAATGTTTTAATTTTTTTTTTTTACCTTGAACAGTTCACTGAGCTTGCACTGTCACTGAGGTGGAAGCTGGAATCAACAGCAGACACCTTACATCTTGGTCTTTTCAGGTGAGCAGGACGCTCTGGGACCTTCTGGAAGATGAATTTTCATCATGGTCCCCGTGGGTCACCAGACACACTGCGGCTGTGAACTCCATTCTGGCTGGCTATGTAAAAACAAAGAAGCAGCACATTTATAAATGTTTAAAAGACCATAAAATCACGTGTAAAAATAATCTGTAAAACAAATTAAAACTAGAAGGTAATAATAAAATGTTTACATAGAAGATTATTAAAAATAATTCACCTTTGCTACAGGGAAGGTTTCACGTCAGCCTGGACAAGTGCATTCTTGCAGCTAAATCAGTCTGACAGCCAGTGTCTTGGGTAGATTTAGCCTGAAAAAAAAATAGAAGCACATTGTTGTTGGGAGTTTATAAAGTCAGATAATATACAAAAGAATCTCCTATATAGGCGCTTTATAACATTCCTAGTGTGTGATCGTTGTCATAACGTAAAAGTCAGTCACATATGATGTGGAGAGCCTGAAATGCGACCTCCTGAACAGAATTCCTCACAGAACCGGGTCACAAGCTGGATTTCACGCTGTAATGCTGTCAACTAGTGCTGCGTTAGTTAGAGCCACTGTTGCAGAATTGCCGACTGACTAGCTAAAGGAAGTGAACCACGTCTCTCAGACTTTGCATTTAGGTAGGGAATTGTCTTTAGAAGATGTTAAAACGTTTATTTAGCTGACTCACCTCAGACTGGAGCCCGCCGTGGTGGGGGAGCAGAGTCGGTGGGCTGCATCTAAATCGCGGAAGAGCCACGGTGGGCACAGCCTCCCTCTTCAAACGGAGGCGTGCAGAATCGCGGGTAAAATGCCCACAGAGTCACCGCAACCATACTACACTACACCTACTCACCAATACTAAGACGATATGGAACACTAAACCCGAAATACTTTCCCAATTACACTAACAGCCAAACACTAACTAAACTACAATATACAACAGCCAAGCTAACACTAAATAAGTATGTATAACACTAAAAGATATGCTAAAGACTAGGATATGCTAATGCTATATGCTAATGCTGAACTACCGCTGACCTCCTACACTCGCTTGCAAATCCAACTCCCACTCGCTACAGGGCGTGGCCGAGACGCTCGTTGCTTTTATAACTTTGGCACGGAGCTGCTACGTAGTACTCTACTGGTTTACGTAGTACTTTACTCTTTAGCCATTGGCTAAAATTTATTCAAAATGACTCAAATTCTATGTTTTCAGCTGAAGGTGGCGCATTACTGTGGTTTTTAGACAGAATTTTTAATTTTTAAAGAAAATGCACCAAAATGCTAAAATAAAGAATGCACACATTTAAAACACTATTAGACACTCATTTATACAGTTCATCAGCAAAAAAAAGTTAATTTAGACGTTACTTGCTCTTTAAATGCACATTTTTCAAATGTGGTGAATTTATTTTTCTTTCTTTTCCTTTTTCTTTTTTCTTGTGTACTTCATCTAAATCCACTTAACTCATTTATTTATCTACACTTTTACTCCAGTCTGGATCGGTGTCCAGCATGTTCTTGGAGTGGGGTTATTATACAAATAGGAGCATTGTGGCTGTGCTTTGTGTTTGTCTGTACTACAATGTTAATGCCCAATAAAAAAAAAAAAAAAGTTAATTCTCTGCCTAAAACCGTTGGTGTTGCACCCTCTTCAGGTAAAAACTCTGCACTACATCTGAATTTAAATCTGCAATTGCTATTGGCTAATAGGTAAACTATGACATTAGCTGGTACCATATAATGTCGCGATGCTGTGTGTGTGTGTGTGTGTGTGTGTGTGTGTGTGTGTGTGTGTGTGTGTGTGTGTGTGTGTTAGTGGCTCTGCCCTTTCAGTCTGCCAGGCAACAGCATTTGTTGCATTTTTCAAACATGAAGTGGGAGTGGAGTAAGCTTCTTGTAGGGGGCGACTTGCTCTTTAAAGAGGTTCAGGAATTTAAAACCACATTTACCTTTTTGTTGAAAAAAAAATGTTGTGTCAATTGTACCATAATGTCTGTGCCATCCCCAATCAAACTACTAATGTTGTAAATGGCTCAGGAGAAGTGGTTCGTTCTGAGAAAAGCTGAGATAACACGTCTCAGGCACAGACACTAACCCATGAATTTGCATATCCTAACCCATTTGAACGTCAGCAATATATAAATGCTGGTGCCAGTAGTGCTAACCACGGAACAACGGTAGCCTGGGCTACAGCTAACAGCATGTGTTACATTCTGAGATAAACTGGGGATGTCCAGACTTTGGAATACCAGATTCATCCATAGCTTGCCTATTTAGTTTTCCGAAAACTGTACACTCCTGAACACCGTTGAGGTGGGTGATGTACCGAAAAATCAAAATAATTTATTGATGCCAAAATTTATGTCTTAATATCAACGTCATTTTGCCCATTTCAATATTTGAAAAACAATTAAAAGATGTGTGTAGGTTGCTGATGTTTGCATCCCTTTATCATACTGTGCAATGAAATGAATGGTTCATAGCATCTGTCCTGTAACTAGAAGGGAAAGACGATGATTCAAATATTGAAGCAGTGGCCGGCGGAAGCAAATAATCCAAAATTTTGCCAAACGGTTGTTGAAGGAGGTTTTTTTTGGAACTGAAACAAATCTACCACCGCTACTTCTAACTGCTGCTGTACAGGCATTTATTGTTGTTTAATCGTTTTTGAGATGAACTTCTCAATTTATCATGATAATGAGCTGAGGCCATATCGCCCAGCCTTAGTACACAATGTTTCTAGCTTCATGTACCGTCACAGAGCCATCAGGGTAAAATAGCCAATCAGCATCCATGTCCCAGCTGAATGACCTGGGTAAACCAGTCTTTCCATTGTAGGGCGGACCACTCTAAAATTTACAGTGATTATAGGGCTAAACTAAATTTGCATCCCCTAACTTTATGCATCTCTCCATATGGGAAAATCTGTTCCCACTCTAATTTTTATGTGACAACATCTGTTGCTTTGCTCCTAGTAACCAGCGCTTTCTTACTTCGAGTTGGGAAATTTGAAAACAGAAGTTGATTAAATTGTAAAAGAAGACAGACTAATCATTGAGTCTCAGCTGTTTGTGCTTGAGATCTGGAGGTTTTAATAGAATATCACCACACTGGGAGCCGTTGAATGAGTTCTTTTCCTGAAGGAAGTCCATCTGCTTTCTGATTTTTTTCCTTTTTTGTTTTTATTTCTGCCTGGCTGCCTTTTCCTGAGATTTTCCAACATGCATGTTCATGCCACTGCTGCCCCCACCTCCTTACACTTCCCTGTAATTTCCCACAGTTCCCTGCTTCACCTATTGAACCAAACCACCAGCCCAGGAGTGAAAGAGGGGGAGCGGCAGGAATGTGGCTCCCAGTTCCAGCCAAAAACAAGGAAGGCAAAACCCAAAAGACCCGCCCCTTTTGGGGCCAGAGCCTCTTCAACTGGCTGACTACAGTAGGCTGACCACCTATTCCCTGTGCCCATTGGTTGCCTTCCCGTTTTCACTCCTTGCTGATTCCCAGCATATCAGAGAACTCTCACGCTGTTTAAAGTGCATGTGTTTGTGTGTGTGTCATCACTCTGATCTTTACCGACAGCACCGTCTTGAGCCTTGCCTGGTTTCGGCAACAACATAGTCGGATAATTCCACCGCTCGGGACATTGTTCCAGCTTGGCTCTTGTTAGCTTCCGTGCAGCCGTAATAAACCTGCCCAGCACACATTTGTGTCATAGCTTTACTACCCTCATAAAATTAGCAAAGTTTATGCGGAAGAGAAGACAGTATGGTTTTCCCACAGTTCTGTGCGACATTGAAACCAGGCCAAATGCATGGCTAAAGGCCAAGTTTCTACACTACTATTAATAGAAGGCGCTCCATCCTACAGAGGAAAATGATAAAGATAAGTCAGGTCAGTCGGCTGCGTCTTCGGGGACGTTTGCTGGTTTTTAATGCCACAATGCAGTCTTGTGGAAAGTTTGCAACAGGAGAAGAAGGCAGAGAAACTTGAGTTTATCTTGTTAAATAACAATGGTGAAAGTAGATCAAAGGTCAAAGGAGAAGATGAGGCCAAGAAAACTGGAGATTTTCTTTTATTACAGTCTGGTGTGCACGCCTTTTATCAGTTGCAGAGTTGTTGAAGAAATAGAGAGGGACACGTTTGGCTTTTCGACTTCTATTCTAATTTATTTATGGGTCTAAAACAAAAAATTGGACAGGTTTCTTGTGGCATGTTTCCCAACAGAATCGGGAAAAAAAATTGGACTAAGAGATGGGAAGTGGTTGTTTGTACCCGTGAAATGACAACCATCTGCAACACAGGCATCGTGTTTCATTAAAATTCAATAAATTTGAAGAAAAATATGTTCCAACGTCGCATTTGATTTATGTAAATGAATAAAAAATGTTTTCCAGTGATTCGCTCTTCACTAATGGTTTAAATCGGGCTGGGTAAAGCTTTAGTTTTACTTGGAGAGATTTAAGGCTGGCATTTTTATAAATGTGCACATAATTTAACTGCAGTAATTTGAATAAAATCCATTTGATGAAATACACCATAAGAAACTTTATTTTTTGTCTAACTCACATTTTTCCTTATGTTACAGGATCCCATGTTTTATGATTTAACTACATTTTTTCACCAAATAAAACTGTTATGTGGTTGAACTGTAACATCGTAATTTTTTTAAATTAAAAAATGCATAAAAAATTGATGGTAAAAATGGTAAATGGTCTGTATTTGATATAGCGCCTTCTAGAGTCATGGAACCCCCCAAGGCGCTTTACAACACAATCAGTCATTCACCCATTCACACACACATTCACACACTGGTGTGAATATATATATAATAATATATAATAAATAAATAAATAAATAAATAAATAAATATATATATATATATATATATATATATATATATTTATATATATATATATATTTATATATATTGCTGTCTCTGTACTTTTGGCCGTCAACAAAAGACATAATGTTCATACTTTTCAGCAGACCGATGAAGACAGAGGTTTCCTCGTCACTCCAAAAGTGTGGTGCTGTGCCGCGACTCGCCATGTTGCTCCCAACTTGTTGTTTACTTCCGGTGTTCTGGCGCATACAAGACGTCTCACTACTCAAAAGACCAAGATTCCTTGCGAACAGAGCATGCGCAGAACACACGCTTTGATGGGGATATCCCGGTATGCGTTTACACGACCAAACATTCGGGTTAGAAAAGGGTTACCCCAGGTGTAGTTATGAGCATATCCGGGTTTTTGGCGGTGTTTACATGGCCGTGCGGAACCGGGTTATTGTGAATATTCGGGTTTTAAAAGGGTTACTGGCTGCATGTAAACACAGTAAGTGTAGATGCTTCAGTATAAACCCTTAAAAGCTTCTACCTGTGTTGAAGAAAGCGAGCGTTATGGTTCAGAGGTGGCCCTACTGCACTCAGATTTGTGTCAGTTTGACACGCGCAACAAAGACTGCAAAAGGCTTCCACACACTGAAAGTATTTAGTGTTGTGATTATCCGATCAGAACGGATTGTCCTCCTCATTATTAGCTGTGTTTACTGATTTACTGGCAGCAAGAGGTCAAGCTGAGCTTTAAACCCTTCCTAAGCTCGTGGCAGCACGCTGATTTTGGCTCGAATCACAAGAGCCTATCAGAGCCCCTTTAGGCACATTCACCTTGCAGAGGGAGCGACGAGTGTCACCCTCCTTGTTAGCCCCATTGTTAACGCCGACACTTGTTGTACGTGAACGAGTTTTGTGGTGTTCTGTTATATTTTGCAACCAGCATGTCATCGTTTCCCCCCTGGCAGTTTTATCCCTCTCTCCGTTCGTGCCGTGGGTAACGGTAATTGGCAGCATCTGCCAAAGTCCTCACAGCTCAGATCCAAGTTCAACAGATTTGAACTTTACACAGCGGATATCCAAATACTGCTTTTGCAAAATATGTGTGCCATTAAACCAGCAAGTCTTTTTGCAACATGACTTGAATAGTGAGATTTCTCTACCCGGGTTTAAATCATTCTGAATTTTTCATTCACATCTCAGTGTGGATGCCAGCTCCACGTGACGATGACAGGAAAATGTTAATGTTTAGATTAGTTGTGTGCTGTTCTGCTTTGCAGTAATGCTGGATGAAAGATGCACCAGTTCAGATTTTGAGAACTACTACTAAATCTTTTTTTTTTTTTTATAAATGATGCTGAAACACATTTTCCACCCTTAATTCACATCAAATGAAAGCATTTAATTCACACAACTAACCTCAAATGACCTCAGTGTGCTGTTTTCTCCTTAAGCGCTCAAGCTCAGCCAAACAGGGACACCTTTGATTTGGCAGCTTCTGATTGGCCGATAAGAACACACCTCTTTTTTTTTTGCATCCTTAT